ATCACTGCATTTAATTTATTCAACCTAAATGCATGAAAGTACAGGTGGGGACATTATTTATGCAGGTATATGCAAATCACTTTATAAAATAGGCAAAGCCCTTCTGCTTTTTATAAGTTGCCAAGGTGGTTCCTGGTATTTTAAAAGCTATGCACCTTTCATGTAATTTCCTAAGGGTTGGAATCTCTCTGTTGGAATCACAGTCATTGTCAGAGCAAGTTTATTTTTTTTCTCTCCTAAGGGACATTTACAAGGCTTTCATAACCATCACAAAAAGAGTGGTTTCCACAGAGATGTGACTGGAAAAATCCCTTGGAAATTGCTGAGGAGCAAGTCACAATGTTCAAAGCAGAGAACATAGGCTTTGAAAACATGAACCCATCTGACCTCCTGAATTTAGTGCAGCAAATTCCTGAGCTCTGAAACATGGGGCCCGGCTGTGCATGCCATATTGGTGCTATAAGACTGGCAGTAGGTTGGCTGTGGCATGGTCTATTTCAAACTCCTTCACAGTGCCCAGTGTTGCATGTTCCCAGATGACATTTGGTTGGCAGAAGCTGGGCCTCCAAAGCTGGCAGTCTGGAATGCGGCCCACTGTGTTTTGACAAACACATAATTGACCATCTGATCACCAGCCTACATTCTGCACTCAGGTCACTGAAAGGACCTGAGCTTTCTGTGGGTCCCCAGTCCTTGTCTTGCTCATCTTCTCAACCCTTTCTCCAGACAGCATCACAGAGAAGACTTAAACATACCCACATATACACTCCCATTTGCAAAAGAGAACGTGGTACATGAAACAAAAGCTGTTGAAAATTTCCTTTAAACTGTCCTGGCAGCCCAAAGTGAACAAGAGAAAAGCACACTTATGGTGAACTCTAATTCAGAAAGCAGGAATGAATATACTGAATTGTTTCAACACCCGGCTGTGCATAAGTTGGAATTCAGCTCAATGGCTTGAAACTTCTGCTTAAAAAAGACAGCAAAGGGAAAATGATAGAAGATTGGGGCATTGACTGACTTTAGGGGCACATTCTTAAGAAATGGTTTCATTTTCAGATGAAAGATGAGAAAAGCAGGACACTGGGAATGGCTTCTCCATATCTGCCTGCTCCACCCCCAAGTCCACTAGGGGAGAAGGAGTCACACATCCCTGGAGACTAGTAGGCAAGCAGCTCAGAGTGAGGTCAGATTTACACTGAGCTCTCTGGTGAAGCTCCCATGAAGATATACTTTGATCTGAAATTTGGCCCCACACAATACATCATTCTTTCCCTTAGAAGGCAAGGACTTTGCATTGGGCCAAGATATGCTGGCATTATGCAATGCCAATGCCTATATCAACACTACCATATGGGCTCTCCTCTCCACTCCCACCCCCACTGCACAGTTCAGCCCTTAGTCTTCACCTTTGACCTGGTCTCCTTTTTTTTCAGTCAACTACCTCTGCCATTACCAGAGCGCTCTTTTTCATTTTTATTATTTATTTATTTTAGAGAGAGGAAGGGAGAGGGAGAGGGAGAGAGAAAAAGAGAGAGAGAGAAACATCGATCAGTTGCCTCCTATACACTCCCCAACCGGGGATCAAACTTGCAACCTAGGTAAGTGCCCTGACTGGGAACCAAACCCACCACCTTTCTGTGTACACAGCCAATATTCCCACCAACTGAGCCACACCAGTGAGGGCAGAGCATTTTTTTTTTTCTAAAATACAAATCTGGTTACAATTCTTCACAGGCTCCTGAAGCCTTCAACGTCAAGTCTAGACTCCTTCCTGTGCACAGCAGACCAGGCAGGCCTTCTGAGATCTGCCTCCTCCCACTTTCAGATTTGTCTCCAGGCTCCTCTTCCCACCACATGTTCCTCCACACTAACCACTGTCCTCTGCAGCTTGCTGCTGTTCGACGCCTCCTGACTTTGCAAATGCTTTCACTTTTTTCCTAATTATGATCCTCTTCTGCTTTCCCCTCCTCTACATCCACCTAGGAAACTGTAATTCATTCTTCAGACTTTAAGGGCCAGCTTGAGTACCTCTTTACATGTATGTAGGCATTCCTTTCTCATAACCCTCGCTACATCTTGTATATACCTCCATCTCAGCTTCTACCATACGGTATAGCCTTTGTTTACTATTTATCTCCGCTACCATACTCTGAGATTTCTAACAACAGGCAGCACTTTTTATTTATTTTGGAGTTCCAGGTATCAAGCCTAGTGACTAGCTTCCCATAAATGTTTGTTGACTAAAAACTGAATAAAGAGCTGTGCATGATAATTACAAACCAAGCAGTAGTATTAGCTTCTATAGGCATGTTTGGAGCCTCTTAGCAATCTAATGAAGCTAGAAGATCCCAGAAGTAAGGTACTTTCTGAAGGTTATCACAGGGGGATTGTAAGAGGGAGAGGTAGATGGTAGGAGGGAGAATGTCTTGTTAACAGAGAATGTCACTAAAGCAGTGAATTTTCTGCTTCTTCAACACTTAGTATTAATAGGTATTATTCAGAGAATGATCAGGGTATGAACTGCATGGAGGCCTAACGTGTAAGAACCGGTTTCCCAAATAGGGCAGGTCTGTGATACCTGCTTTCAGGCAGCAGGGTAGGTTATCGAGGGCTCTGCCTCATTTCTGCTAAATAATGATGAAATGGAAAACTCTCGGGGGAACATCTGGAACCTATTTATTCTATTGAAATCCGTGTCACATCCAGATTAGGACTTTGGACTAACAGCAGTGCCAAGAAGAGAAGGTCAAGCAGGCAGAACTTAACCCCTGTCTGAAGGAGGCCATTGCAGAGACCCCAGGAGCTGGAAGCACTGGGGAGAGAATGCTCTGATCTATTTCCAGGAACCTTTCCTTTCCCTTTGATGGGCATCTGGGACACCACCTCTGGAGCCATCAGCAGTGTCTGTGGGGCACTTGAGGACAACAGGACTGTCACAGGCCCTGCCACCCTTGAGATAAAGGCAGGCCTCAGGATTTGGAACAATCCCTGCGAGCATGAAGATTGGCCCAGGGGTAAGACCAGGTTAGTGGGTACATGAATGATTTATAAGCCCATTACAGGTCATTCTCCAGCCTCATTTCTAGTTAAAAACTAGGATCTCTCTACAAGCTGCTCAGCTGATGGTTGACATAGCATAGAATCACTTTCACATTTTCCTATGAGCCAGAGACAGCCTTTCAATTACATTTTTTATCTCCAAGGTCTCCCTCTTGATCTCTAATCCGTGACACAGGCCTTCAGTCCCCTGTACTGTTGTGTCTGAGGCTTGCTCTACAGTGCTGACGTCATAATAGCTGAGCCATGCGGGCAGGAGTGCACTGTGCTGACTCATCCCGGTGATGTGAGGATTAATGCCTTGTCTAACACAGAGCTATTATGTGAACTGTTTTTACACAAAGAACTGTAACAAAAATGATTTGCCAGCCAGAGGACTAGAAATAGGCAGTGCGAGGTAGCTGGGGCAGGGATGCAGAGACATAAAGTGGTAACCATCAGCACGTACATTGACACCCTCTGAAGCACTGACAGACCCACTCTGTCAACACCGAGAACAGGAAACAACAAGACTGTCAGGGCAGGGAGGACCCACCCCTGCTGCATAAATGCATTATGCACAGCACCAGTCTTCCGGGAGTTTAATCAATCTCCTTTCTCTGTCAAATAACTGTCAGTTTAGACTTTCGCCTGGGCATCCTTTGGAGGATTCTGCTCCCCTAAATATATTTAACTAGCTTCTAAGAATATTACTGGAAGCCACACACAAGCGAAAGAGCCACGGGAACCCCCCTTCTGTGCAAATGATTATAACACCAGAAATACCTGGGAGTGAGGACTCAGTGAGGTAAGATAGGATGTTGTGAATAAGGAACCAGCTGTGCTCACCGAAGAGTGGGAAACAGCTGGAAGAAATTGCTTATTTAAATAAATAAATGATTACTTATCACAGAAGGTGATGCCACTACTTGTAGCATCTCTTGGGTGGGGTCTCATGCAGTGACTTTAATTATTTAGGTTCATTGCCCCAGAACCTCTTTCAAGCAGCTCAAAGTAAAATGTATCCAAAATCATTCAGTGCAGCCTAGTTTGGGCTTCAAATAATAAATATTACTATGGTAGCATCTGCAATCAAGTTGTTTTTTTCTCTCCAAATGACCTGCATCTTTTCTACAACAGAATGGCACCTTTTATAAACCTCCTGGTGCATGTAATCCGGGATTTCTCTCTCCATTTCTTTTCCTGAACTTTATAATTTCACATATAATTTTACCTAAATGGTTGAAGTCTTGTACTTCTTAGTAAAAGGATATTAGAAATTTGGTCAATAAATGAAAGCTCTGATCTAGAAGCTGAAATTAAAAACAATTGAACCACCTGGCCAGTGTGGCTCGGTGGATTGAGCGCTGTCCCACGTACCAGGAGGTCGCAGGTTCAATTCTCGGTCAGGGCACATGCCTGGGGTTTCAGGCTCGATCCCCAGTGGGGGCTGTGCAGGAGGCAGACAATCAAAGTTTTTCTCTCATCTATGTTTCTATCTCTCTTTCCCTCTCCCTTCCTTTCTCTCTAAAATCAATAGAAAACATATTTAAACAACAACAACAACAACAACTTTGAACCTAGGGGAGGGTGTATAACTGAAGAATACATAATTGGCCATTGACCGACAGTGGAGCAACAGCCTAGTTGTTGCGGGTATCTGGCTGAAGAATGTGAGCTACAGTGTTGAGGAGCAGTGACTTTTGCAAACAGCAGCTGTGACAGAGTAAAGAGCAGTCTTTACAGAAGTCCAGTCGCTGGGGCCACTGGTCTTTTCAGGCCCCTCATGGATGGCAACTGCTACCCCCACAACAGCATCGACTCCAAACACAGAACAATCTAATGCATGCTGAAGAAGCGCCGAAAACCACAACGAAGTCAACTGGATAACATGCTAAGAAAGATCCAAATTTCCCACATCTGACACTGTTTTGAAAAATAAAGAAACCACTTCTACTTACATACAGAGAAGGGGCAGGCTGCAGACTGATGGTCAAGGAACTGAAAATCAAAGAAAAAACAAGGAATTAAAAATTAACCCAATGGTACTATGGGGAGAAGGAAAGCAAATCTAAATACTGTATAGACAGGGATGGTTGCTCCTAAAGGATGAGCTGCAGGAGCCCAAAGAAGGAGATCCAACTTCATAACATTTTCCAAAGGTGTGACCTTCTGTTCTCCGACCAACACAGTACTCCCCACCCCAAGAAGTGCCAATCTCATTCTTCGTGACCTTCATTCTGATCTGAATCATATGAGTATTTTGTAGGGTTGTGCTGTGCACTAGAGTAGCCACTAGCCACATTTATTTATTTAAATAATTAATTACAATTTAATGAAAACGTAAATGTTTAGTTCTTCTATCACACTAGCGACATATTCAGTGCCCAGAAGATTCTCTGGACAAATTCACCACTTCCATGTGTTGTCAACCTCAATTGAGGACCTGGGTTGGTGCTGGCTGAGGACTTGGTACTGCCTCCTGTACGTCTCACCAGCCAAGCAATGTCCCCTCTGAAAAAATTATATTAAGATAATACATCTGTCTCCCAAAACATATCTCTAATGATGACAACTTTAGGTTTGGGGGAGTTGACCTAAACAGTTTCTCATTCCTTATTTCAAATTTAATAATTCCCCTTTTTAATCTTCAACTCACAAGCCAAATAAGCTATAGGGACTGATCTGCTCACCATTGTTTTGATAGCTTCTCTTACAGAAGAATAAGATTGAAGTAACAGAAGATCCATGAGAAATTAATAAACCAAACAAGGATGCTGAGAAAACAAAGTAGGTATCCCCACCTCCATCCCACTCAAATGTATCAAGGACTTAACACTGATTGCATTCTTGTCTCTCTGACACCATGATTTTAACTACTTCACATAAGGCTTCCAGAAATATGCAAAACAAACCATATTAAAAGAGATCAAGAAGGGTCTGATTAGACAACTCAGCATAGAATAAGGCTAAAGCAGAAAAATGGCAATCAAAGAGATTTCACTTCTCAGCACATTTTCTGGACAAATGCCGATTGCAGAAGTTCCTCCAAAGAGAGAGTTTCTTCTTTATTTCCAAGGTGAAACCCTGTCCATGCACATGCAAGTGTAAGGTGATGTTGCGCTCCATGGACAAGAAGGGCTAAGATGAAAATCCAGGCATAACGTATGCGAAGAGAAGTTGGGGTTTACAATACTTTCAAAGTGTTTCACAAAATTGATGAGTCCAATTAAAATTTTAAGCAAGATAATTAGATTATTTATGATTCATTGAAAGTACATACAAACCTGAAATGTATATCATATATGACTGACTAATCTTCAAAGTCTTCAAAACTCTAAGTTTTATTAAATTCTAGTCTCTTCTGCAAGCCAGGATCCTAGACCATTGTAGGGTGCATCTTTTAAAATATTTTCCTTTCCCTCCCTCCCTCCTTCCTTTCTCCTTCTTCTCCCTCCCTCCCTTCCTTCTTTTTCCTCCCTCTCCCCCAATTTTTTTTGAGCTTGCTTTGAAGAGAAAGACAAAAAATATGATTAGTGGTTATCTATGAAATATGCTTGCTTATCGTTTTTCTGTTGCATGTTATAAACTCAATAACTCCAAATAATACAATATGCTATTTTTAAATTGTACTTTGTATTTATGTTCTTATATCTAAGCACATAATAACCCTTTCTAAATTTCAAGGAGCATTTTTTTCATAAAAGTTAATCAATCAAAATTAATTTTTTGATGTGATCAGAAGAGATCAATGTAAATTGTACCCAGATTGACTAATAAATCCAAGGCCTGGAATAAAACAAAACTTTTTCTGGATGTCAAATGACACACAGGCTGTCCATGACAGGAATCCAAGATGGAAAGAAAAATCAGTGTGTTATGTCACAGTCTAAGACAAATTCAAGGAAAGTGAAATAAAAGATTTTATTGGATATAATTGTTGTCTTTATATATTAATGAAAAACAATAATACCTATCCCAATTTTAATATTAAGGCTAAATATTTAATCTCAGAGTTCTTATACAATTCATAAATGTTCATAAACGTCAAAAGGCTCCAACTTCTTGATTGAATTGCAATCTGCTAGGCAATTTTGAGACTATATATTAATCTCTATAGGTTTATTTTTGTTCAGTTCAAATTGTGATTTTATTGATATGCATCCTTTCTGCCTAAGTGATATTCACCTTATATGTCTGCAAGTTGTTTTCATCTGGAATGCAAAGAATTATCTATAATAGTTTTGCATAAGATTAAAAACATTTGCATTGAGCATGCTAGGTTCCAAGTATAAATATCTAGCAAAGAATATGTAACTGCAAAGCCCAGAGGAATGAGGACCTTGAAACATGGTGAAAGAGGCAAGAACAGAGAGGGGGTGACTGTGGAAGTCTAATCTTAGTTTCGTGATTTCCAAGTGGAAATTATTATATACTATCAATCTCCAAGGAACTAAAAGTATTATTAATTGTAACTTAAATATCAGTCAATTCTGATTCCAATTTATGTAATGTTTAGGGTAATAGTGATAAAGATCTCAGTGAGAATCCTTTCCTTAGAAACTCCCCCAAAACACCCAGTTTCAAGGAGCTCCCAGACTCCATGAAAGTCATCCAGGAATTCTAGGTTAGTAACCCTAAAGGGAGGAGGAGAAAAAGCTCTTTCAATTCTACTGCTCATTGTGTCTAGGACAAGCATGTCAAACTCACAGCCTACAACGAATATGTTTGTGGCCCAGCCAATATAACGGTATGTAAGAAAAGTTTCAATAGAAATTTCATAACTTATTTTTTACAATATCCTGTTATACATAACTAGAGGCCCAGTGCACGGAATTCATGCATAGGGGAGGGGGAATCCCTCAGCCCGGCTGGCACCCTCTCCAATCTGGGACCCCTTCAGGGATGTCTGACTGCTGGTTTAGTCAGTCGGACATCCTTCTTGCAATCCGGGACTGCTGGCTCCTAACAGCTCACTTGCTTGCCTGCCTGATTGCCCTAACCACTCTGCCTGCCTGCCTGACCGCCCTAACCCCTCTGCCTGCCTGATCGCCCCTAACCCCTCTGCCTGCCTGCCTGATCTCCCCTAACCCCTCTTCCTACCTGCCTGATCGCCCCTAACCACTCTGCCTGCCAGCATGATCACCCCTAACTGCTCACTTGCCAGCCTGATCACCTCTAACCGCTTCTGCCTCGGCCCCCACCACCATGGCTTTGTCCAGAAGGAGGACCGGACAACCAGAAGATGTTCAGTCTATCCGGTCTAATTAGCAAATTACCTTTTTATTAGTATAGATTATTAATAATGAACTACAAAGTTTGCTGATGACTGATTACTATAATCATGTTGCATTCATTTCCCTTACGCGCCTTACGCGTAGGCGCACCATTACTCTCCACTAATACTAGCAGCGAGTATTTTAGCAGCCGATTGCCATGTCATTAGTCTTGTACTGACTTGTTTGGTGTGCTCAACAGGAAATATTTTGCTTTTGTAGAACAAGAAAAATAGGTTTCTTTGTGTTACGCTTATTAATTTGTGCAGTTATTCAGTGTCTTAGTTAATGTTCAAGAAAAATAATTAATTTTATTAAAATGTTCTATTATTTCATGTTAATGATTACTCATTTATTTCAGCCCTTTGTATTCAGCATGTCTCTATCAAAATAAACCTACATTTCTATGAAAATAGCAGCTTTTTTTTTTTTTTTGCAGCCCACATATACTTAAACCTTGTTTATTTGGCCCGTGTTAGCCTTTGAGTTTGACATGCTTGTTCTAGGAAGTTTTACCAAGTTGCTATATGCTGTAGCCAGGAGTAACCAAATGTATAGAAATTACCTGGGAGAGTGAGTATGACTAGAGAAACACAGATTAAAGGTCTCCCAGACCTTCCTA